GCTGAGATGTCGGAGGTGCAGGAGGAGATGTTTGCTGCCCTCGTGGAAGCTAAGGCGTTGCTGCCTTTATTACCGCTGGCTTCCGACTGGGAACCAGCGGGGGTGGGGGAGGGTCGCGGACGGGCGGCGTGCGTCCCCGGCGCGGCACATGGCACATGGCACAGGAGCACTCTAACAATAGGGCCCTCGGTTCTGGTGAATTTTGTCTGCACGCGGTGCGGTCCCAAGGAGTCATTTTCAATTCTGTCTGTAAAGGAGCTGCCGTGGTGGAATTGTATTAACAGCAACCTTTTGTCTGCAGGTCACAAATCGTTCGAAATTCTTAAGTTAGTGGAACTGTGCTTGAGGTAGGTATTCACCGTCCTTCGCAGTCGGAAACGTGCGGTCTAGGAGTGTTGGCTGCCAGAATCACATTAAGTCAACAGCGGAACTTGTAACGAATTTGACCAGTCGGTCGGGCACGTAGTTCTAGGTAGTTATTCCAGTGCTAGGTACTAAACAGACTGCTTAAAGTGTGTAGGAGAACCCAGTTGGAGAAACCTCGAGGGAACTGGACTTGGGACAATATTTATTGAACGCCTTAGGAAGATAGTCTATACTGGACTTGGGAAAAGTACTTAATTACAAGACTTGAACTTATTATTAATGTGATTTGTAAGACGACAAAATTTGAAATTAATCCCATCCATCTAAACCTTTGCAGAAATGCAGTTATATTTTAAATTGGGACTGGAGGGGTAGCACAGTGGTAGAGCCCAGGCTTAGCATGCAGGAGGCTACCTTGGGTCCAATTCCTAGCCAGAAAATAATTTTAAAAATTAGGTAAGCCTTTATCTTTAAGTAATTAATATTCACGTATCTGGGAAATTACCTTCTCGTTTTTTTTTTTAACCTGTGCATAAGGTTGGTTGAATTTATTTTTAAAAAAGCTACTAATAGAGTTTAAACCAATTGTGTTCAAAATTTATTCCTTAAACTTTAAGAAATTAAGATAGAGATCAAAATTGTTAACGCTTTTTTTGATGTTGGGGATCAAGGTCAGGGCACTATGCCTGCTGGGAACGTGATCTGCAGTTGAGTCATATCCCTAAACCCATGCTTGGTTTAGCGGTGCAGGGGACCTGTCTTACTGCCCCATACATGATAGGTAGGTGCTCCACCACTGAAGTACACTCACAGCAAACCATTTAAATTTAAACTGTAATCATCTATATTGCACTTGGGCTTAAAACCAGTTTATTGCTCTGACGAATGATCAGGGCTGAGGTAAGGCCTACCTGATTAATTAGAAAATTGTCTGTTGAAAAACATTGTTGTAAATAATGTCATATATTGATATAAAACAGGAGACTTTTCTTGCCATGGAGAAAAGTCTCAAGGTTCCTGGGGATCAGGAATGTACCAAGGTAGAGAATTAATTCCTCTCAGTGATTCCTTGGTCACATTATAGAATATCAGACAATTCTAGATGTGTTCTCTACTTGGTAAGTGTTGGTAACATTTTCGTTTGACTGATAAGAGTTCAGGGTTTAAGGTTGACTAAGTTCCAGGTCTTTGACCTTATTTCGGATGGTCAAGCCATTCTTGGAAATGGTTGGGGTGCTTGCTCTTGAGAATTTAAACATAGCTTAGGTTTGTAATTAGATCTCTAGAGGGATTGACATAAAGTGGCATTTTCGATGGAATGGCTGTAATAAGCAAGAAATTCCAAATAGGTAGTTTTTCTTGTGTTACAGATTAATTATGGTGAACATGAGGTGTTTACTAGGGAGTGTAAAGAATCTTGGCGGAGGAGTTAGAACTGGATTTTAATCCCTTTGTTGATTGTCTCTATCAGTGTCAAGCAAAGTAATTAAAACTTGAGGGTGTCAGTTTTTTTTTAAATTTTTTTGGCGGTACTTGGGTTTGGATTCAGGGCTCTTTGCGCTTGCTAGACAGGCACTCAACACTTGAATGATGCCTCCAGCCCCAAGATACCAGTTTCATAGCCATAAAATAAGGCGGCCTATATGTTTTTAGTTAATTTTTAGTGGAACTGAGATTTGAACTCGGCTTCACAAAGCAGGCGCTCTACTGCTTAAACCACACCTCTAGTCCTAGACTACCTGTTTCAATTCCTTATTTACAACTCGACATTTGTTGTGAGAAGGCTGAAAAGTGCAGAAAGTTTTATTAAAAGCAGTTTTCTAAATCAGTAGGAAGCATTATTTGCTTATCCTAACTATGCATACTCATTCACTCTCATTGGGAATAGGGAAGATTATGGTTTTGTATCTGTTAGATTGACTAGAGAATTGCTGTGTGTACTGTAACTGCAGGTGTTAGATACTGAGAATTTTGAGTTTATAAAAGGAAAGAAAATAAGATGGTCATAGGTTTCACTTCTGATACATTTACTGTAAGAGGTTATAATGTTCTCATGTTTATTTGTATTACGACATTTGAAGCCTTGGTAATCCAAAATTGTTTCTGTCTCAGTGCACTGGAAAGATGAGACACTTTAAGGAATTGATTCTTAACTGGGGGGAAAGGGGGTTCCTTTTTCAAAATCTCACAGTGTTCTCAAAGAAGAGCTGACAAGAGAATTAGCAAGAGGGCTAGTTAAAACAGATGTGCCCTCCACTACCAGAGTTTCTAATGGAGCAACTCATGTGACCATAGAATTTGCATTTCTGAAATGGGTGAGGTGATGCTTGCAGTAATCCTAGCAGTGGGGAGTCTAAGGCAGGAGGGTCTCCAGTTGTAGACCAGCCTGGACCATAGAAGAACAATCTCAAAAAAGGTTTGGTTTCAAAAGAGTTTGGTTTTCATGTTATTGCTTGGTGTGACTCACTTCATTTAGAAGTTCAAATCTCATGGGGGTTAGAGGAAAACATAACAAAGTGTAGGGGTACCCCTGATTAAACAGCATTACAGTTGGTTTCCTTATTTGTTTGGTTTTCCCCTCAGTTTAGCATATCTTGGGGAAGACATCCCCACCTCTGCAAAACTGGGGATTGAGCTTGCATGAGCTGTATGACTTGAGCCATGCCTCCAAACATTTTTTTGATTTGTATTTTATATTTGAGATGGGGTTTCACTAACTTTGCTCAGGCTGGCCTCAAACTATTCCTCTTTCCTCCCACTCTGGAGTGTCAGGGATTTCAGGCTTGATCCACCACACATGTCTACATTTAGTGATACACAAATGCCGTTTCACATTGCTGCGTTTAGTTTTTGTCTGTGGCACACTTGTAAAAGATTTATGGCTGAGCCATAAAGCTAAATCCTGAAAGTTTGGGTACTAGGTTCAGGCCATGACTCCAAATAATGTTTTACTAAAGTTATAAAATACTGACTTGAAGGAGACAAATTTAAAATAAATGTACACTTTTTTTAATTCTACACATAACCTTTTCCCACAGTTTATTAGCATTTGTACAATTTTTTACATTAAAATACATGTCATGCCTAACTTCATCTACTTAAAAAACTTGTAGTTTAAAAACATAAAAAAATCTTAGAGTTATAGTACCTGTTCTCTTTTATTAGTATTTGGCTCAAGGAACACTTTTAAAAGCTCAATTTAAAATTTGAGTTTAGTAAAATTAGTATGAAATGTGAATGCAGTCAACTCATACTTAGGTGCACAATGAGCTAGTCTTAAGTACAATTCTTGTTTTAGCTGGTGAAACAACTGGTTTGTGTTACATATATTATTTTAGGGTCATTAGGTATCACATTCATATCCATACGTTGGAATTAGATCTATTAGATGATAAAAAGGAAGCACAGAAAAAAATTCCATAAACACCATAGTTTTTGACTTGTATTAAATATTCAAAAGCCATAATCTCCCCCCCCCTTCCATCTTGTATGTTTTTTCATTCTGTCAGTGAGTGGACAGAAAGGACTCCTTATTTGAAACATCTTTCTCCCTAACTGTAGAGCCTTATCAAGGCTTGTGGTTTTGAGAATATATGAGTCCTCTCTAAGAGTGTATATATTCATGGTACACCATTCACCTTCAGTTTGTATTACTAATAGGAAAAATACATGGCTTTCCAGTTTAAAACCCATACATCTGCTTACCTTCATAATCTCAGTATTTGACATTTACTCACTTCATCTTTTATTTGTTGGCCTGTTTTTTTTCTGTATTTTCCTTGCCCAAACTGCTATTTACCAAGATGAACATTCAAATGTATACTCTTTATGGAGTCCCTTAAGGGGATAGGGACATGAATTTAGTGAGTTTTAGCCACCTATTAATATTGAAGAGTTATAAAAGAAAATCACTGGTATAAGTGATGATTCTACAAATGCTCGCCCCATCCCAGTGAAATGTTATGCTTTACCAAAATGTGTTAGATGCAATAGACAGATGTTTCTGTCTTGGGGGTTTAGGGCACAACATTTCTGAGGAACTCTGACTCAATCTGTCCCTTCTCCTTTCACAGGGCAGCAAGGCGAACCCCATCCCTACTCACTGGAGCTCAGCTTTGATTTTTAACCTCCCTTCCCACCCTCCCAGAACACACACATTCCCATTCCAAAACTGATTTTATAAAGACATTTTAAACATAATGATGCAACTTGGTGTGCACTACAGCAAATTTACAGGTGTTTTTTTTTAAATTGTTTCCAAAAAACGGGACCTGGATTTAAGGTGTAATTTTTAAAAGTTCTATTTCTATTTTTTCTGCAGCAGTTGGGTTAGAGGAGGAGGAGCCTTTTAGCCTCTCATAAACTGACCTCTCTATTTCCTCGTGTATTTTTAAGATTAATTGATGATGTGAAAAGGGCTTTGCTTGTCTGCTATTGAGAACATTACCCTTGCGGTTTTTGTGGAAACTGCTTTTGGAAAGAGAAAAAAAATGAACTTTACTGACTTGACATTTTTGCACCTCCCGTTTTTCTAATCTGGGCTATTTTTATTTTTGTTTTTTTACAGTGAGATTTTTTTGATCTTCAGCTACAGTAAGTTATTCCAATTTTTTTTTTACATTTTTCCTGACTTTCCGCTGATTTCCTTTTTATTGTTGTTACTAGTTATTATTTATTTATTATTATACTTATGATGGTGATGATTATGATGGTAATGGCACTTATGATTTTTAACCGGATTAAAATCGAGTTTTTCTGAATGTTCATAAGAATTTCTTCGGCCTCCTGATTGACTTTGGAGTTTTGCATCTTGGGAGAGAAAGTGAAGGCATTAGAATTTTTAAGTGGATTGATCACATAAACCTTTTCTCTCCCAACCCCACCCTTGCCCTCAACCCCTTCCCCCACACTGGAAATAATTTTACTGGCTGTTAAGTCTGTTACCTTATTTTTCCTGATCTTTAACTTAACTGTTTTAGAGCATCTCTGGACGTCTGTATTTTTAATTTTTTTATTTTTGTTTTTTATTTTTAATCTTTCATTTGTTAAATTTTTAAACTGTGCTGCAATAAAATGTGTGTGGTACTACTTAACACCTATGATGGTGGTGGCATTTTCCCAGAAAGCCATCTTCCTCCTGTTTCCCTTGAAATCCCATCCTGCTTGTCCTGTACACTACCCCTCACAAACCACAAGCCGCAGCAACATGGATGGCCAGCCTGGAGCAGCATCAGCCAGGATGACCTGGAGCCAGGGGGGCCTTCGGAACAGATGCACACCCTTCCTGGGTGATGGTAAGAGGTGTGAGGTCCACTTGGTTTCATTGCAAAGACTAGGAAATAGTTCAGTTGATGTGGTATAGGTCAGAGGCTCTCCAGTGTTTGGGCTAAGCCTGTTTTTGTGTGTATCTTGAGGTGTTTCCCAAGAGAGGCAACCTCAATTTGTAAAATAATGGAATGAATTTCTGATTAACTTGGACTGATTGGAGAATTTTTGATAGAACAGCTGAAATTTATTTGTACTTTGGAATGAAAACTGTTTCTTGTTTAAATGGTTAGCAACAAGACAAGAACATAACAGTCTTTTCAGAGTTATTTTAGAGTAACTTTAATGGTTTGTGACAGTAGTTTTGGATTGTATTTAATCTCGTTGAACATGAATCTTAACCACAAGAGATGTGTTACAACATTAAAATGATACCTCAGTGAAAGGTTTTTAAGAATTTGAGAAAAGGGTAGTTTCAGTTTTTAACCTCAAAGTAGGAAGATCTGTTTAATTTCTGGATCTGTATCAAGATCTTAGGATAATTGAGGCCCAGCTAGGTCCTGGAAAATCCAGTGTGTTCCTGAGGGTGGTGGCAAGGAATGAATCCTGATTATTCACAAGAGTAGTGCAGAGATTTATGAGGATGTAAATAACAAGAGTTAAGATTAGAACCCTCGCTAGGCATCGGTGGCTCATGTCTATAATCCCAGCTACTTAGGAGACAGCGATCAGGAGGATCGCTGTTGGATGCCAGCCTGGGCAAATAGTTCGAGAGACCCCCCCCCATCTCACAAATACCAACACAAAACAGGGCTGGTGGAGTAGCACAAGTGGCAGAGCACCTGTCTAGCAAGCATAAGTTAAAATCCCAATACTGCCAAAAAGGGAAGAATTTTAATACAGTATTTTACTGAGTATAGAATTTTTTTCCCCATACTGGACTTTGAACTTTGGACTTTGTCTACCACTTCAGCCATGCCCTCAACCCTTTATTTGTGTTGTTTTTTTGGGTAGTCTCCAGGGTGTTCTAAAATCTCAATTCTCCTACCTACTACTCCCATGTAGCTGGGATTACAGGAGTGAAACACTGTATGTGGTTCTCCTTTTTTCCTGGTGGAATGGTACTAGGGCCTGGATGCTTGGTAGTGTGGCACTCTGCCACTTGAGTCATGCCTGCTAAGCCTGATTACAGAATATTTTGATGAACATTTTAGGTAGAGTTCAATATGTAAGGTAAGTAGCATGAGTCTCTCCCTCCCCTCCCCACCCCCCCCCCTTTTTTTTTCTTTTGGTAGTACTACGGTTAGAACTCAGTCTTGTGCTTGCTAGGCAGACAGACACACTACCACTTGAGGCACTCTACCAGCCCTAGAATGACTTTTTTTTTTTTTTTTTTTCCTCTGGCAAGAGATTCTTTATTGCCGGGTGGGAGAGGGAGAGACCAGAGAGGGGCAAGGGCTTAAATACCCCTCAGTGGGACTCAGCATGATCTGGTTGGTTAGGATCTTATGGTTCATGCTGATTGGAGGTGGGGGCAAAAGAAAGATTCAAGCTAGACTTGAGGCAGGACTGTGATCCTGGGAGGCAGGACCGTGACCCTGGAAAACAGAAGCTTAAGTGTGCAGTAAGAACTTTTTAAAGGTATATTTAGTGCTGTGGTACTAGGGTAAATCACATACCTGTCTTTTCCCATACTTAGTTTTGTTTTTGTTAGTAGTAGTGGGGTTTGAACTCAGAGCCTCACACTTGCTTGAGAGGCAGGCACTCTTACCACTTGAGCCATTCCACCAGCCCCCTACCTTTTCCAATACTTGAATCAGAAGAGTAAAGACTGGGTCAAGTGAACATCAAAGGTAGCCTCACTGAAGGAGACAGAAGAGGCCAAGTGTGGTGGCTCACGTTTGCCATCCTAGTTCCTCAGAAGGCAGGATTGAGGTTCCAGGCTAGCCCAGGCAAAAAGTTCAAGATACTTCCCATCTCATTCAATAAAAGCTGGGTAGGTGGCACTTGCTTTGTTATACCAGCTACTAGGGTAGTGTAAATAGGATCACGCATGTCCAAGCAGACTCTTCAAAAAACATAAAGCAGAAAGGGCTGGAGGTATGGCTCAAGTGGTAGAGTGCCTGCCTTAACAAGCACAGGGCCCTGAGTTCAAACTTTAGTATCTTTAAAAAGCAAAAAAGGAAACTGAATGAAAGTAAGTAAGGTCCTGAAGTTTTCTGGAACAAAAATGGCACCTTTTTTAATAGGTCAAGTGTTGATGCATTATATTGTGTGAAAGCTTTATCTTTTTGTTGCTCTGTATTGTATGGCAACTGTTCAGTTTCATTTATTTTTTAATTCTACAAGTCTTTTCGGCAGTATTGGATTTTGAACTCAGGGCCTCACACTTGGTAGGCAGGCTCTTTTACCCTAGAGCCATTCCACTAGCTCTTTTTTTGTGATGGATGTTTTCCAGGTAGGGTCTCAGGAACTGTTTGCCCAGACCGACTTTGAATTGTGATCCTCCTGATCTCTGCCTCCTGAATAACTAGGATTGTAGTAGTGAGCCACTGGTGCCCACCTTATGTTGGGTATTTTTGAGATACAGTCTGGAGAACTATTTATTTGTCCTGTCTGGCTTGGAGTTGTGAGCTTCCTGATCTCTGCCTCCTGAGTAGCTAGGCTTGAGCCACAGGCGCAAGTTTTTGTTTTTAATAAGGGTCAAGTTTTGGTTTGGGTGAGGGAGGGGAATACAAAAAAAGTATAATAGGTCTTATCTAAATAGATTTGCAGCCTGATGATGGATACAGGTGATCCAGATAATGACATGATTAGAGATAAGCACACATCCCAGAAAAACATTCAGAACTGCCTACCTAATGGACTCTTTAAGAGGTCAGGGAATGCATTTAAGAGGAAGGGAAATAAATCTTAAGATCAGATCATTAAAATTTCAATATCATGTTAAGAAGTTTGTATTTTTATTCAATAGGTAAACTATTGAAAGAGTCTAAAATACGAAGTGACAACAGATTTTTATTTTTAGAAATGTCATAGCTGTGTGGAAATGGCTTATAGGAAAATGAGACTGAAAGTAGGTGAGGAGAAAGCTGTTAATAAAATTCAAGGAATAATGATAACTTGACCTAGAAAAAGTACTGCTAAGGGGATTAGCAGTTATGGGATAAATTTAGGAGGATTTGGAGTGATATGTTATCTAAGTGGTAAAGTTGGCGTTAGTCATGGTTTCTAGCTTCTGGAATGAAGGTAGCCATTGGAGAATTTAAACAGCGAACAAATATGGATGAATTGGTGGGAAAACATAATTGCTGGTCTTTGAGGTGTTTAGTGAGCATTGAGGGTACAGATGGTTATTCATTAAACATTTTTGAGTGCTTATTCTGAAAGACATTATTAGAATTGGGCACATAGGGATGAACAATTCCATTTGGGAATGTAAATACCAGTTTTCACAAATCAATAAAGAACAGTGTGTGTGCTTTGCTGGAGGGAAGATTGGAAATCACATTTAATGTCCCTAGATTGTGCATACCAGCAATCAATCCCAACACTCAGGTGTTACGAATATGAGCGAGGTTTGCAGGTTGGATGCCAGCATGGGCTATATTAATACCCAGATCTTGCCTCAAGAAATGAACAGAAACCTTGAGAATGTAAATGTGAAAGGGGTGATGCCAGTGAGGGATCAGTAAAGGAGTTAATGGTGAAGCTGTGATCTTGAATTTCATATGAAGAACAGATAATCAGTTCTTGGAGTAGGAAATAATATTGGGAGATACTTACATGTATAAGATCTAGACTCGGGCACAAGAGGTATCTATAGAAGGATTTTATCTTGTGTGTGTGAGTGGGTGGCTGATGCTGGAGATTGAACTCACAGTTGAGTAATGCCCTCCCTCTACCCCAGCCAACCTCTGAAGGATTTAGAGGTGGGAGAGATCTGATTTATTACTCCGGAAGTACCTTCTGTTTGTAATGTGGGAAATCTAGTCATGAGGAGTAAATGCAATGTCTCAGTCTCGTGAAGAGAGCTGTAGGCCAAGGGATACTTGTACTGGTTTTTCCAAATGAGTTTTCTTTTGTTAACAGGATGCAACTATAAATGGTCTGAAGCTGATAGACTGAATGATATTTCTGCAACACCCAGTTAATTGCTTTCTGATTTAGAAGGAAAAGAGTAATAATGACTTGATCCTCCAAAGTTTGGGGTTTTCAGAGTAGAGATATTGAACTGGTAAAAGTCTGTGCAAGTGTTTGAAAACCCAAAATGTAAAATACTGCCAGTACACCAAGTATTTTGGATAAGGGATAATCCCTTATCTAAATCAAACACTTGTGTCTACCACTGTTAATGCTCTTAATTTGTGGTAAATTGCTATAATTTTGAGTAGATACTATTGATATTCTCATTTTAGCGGTGAACATTGAAGCACAGGATATAAATTGTCTCAAGTTAGATACATACCCAGTAAGTGGCCGAGCATGGATTCAACCTTGGCAATAAGACTAGATTTCATCTCTTAATGATTATCCTAAATTGTTTGGATCACCTTAATGACAGATTGAGTATTCTATAATAATATGGCTAAAGTAAAAGTACTCCTCCCCCTAAAAAAGAAGAAACCCTGTGATTTTGGATTTTTTTTTTTTTGATGGCACTGGGGTTTGAATTCAGGGCCTTACACTTGATAGGTGCTTAAGCCACTCCACTAGCCAGTGGATTCATACTATTCTTTAAGGCAGTTGCTTCTGCCATTTTCAGCTAATGAAACTCCAGTTTCCATGTCACTCAGACCAAAAAATTTGGAATTTTTTGGAAAAAAAAATTGGAATTAATAAGAAAATTCATCAAGAACCTGAATACAGCTAGTGAACCACACCCATAATCCTAGCTACTGGATGGTTGAGATTTAAAGGATCACTATTGGAGGCCAGACCAGGCAAATAGTTTGAGACCCCATCTGTACCACATAATCACTCTGCCAATCCTTCAATATGTATTTTTAAAGAGTAAGGACTTAAAAACTAATTAT